TCAGCGGCCATGCAAATCCTGAGGATTTTGAGTCTTTATTTTGCTTGCACAGCTGAAATATGTTTCCGTGGCTTCTGTATGGTCTTTCTGCAGGTCTTATTGACGGTGCTGTGCAGGTCATTGATGATTCATTGAATCCAAGAGAGACAACTGTAGTCACAAAACGTAATGATGCTTTAAAGCAAAACAATTCTATAAGCTACAGATCAGAGGAAAGGTGTTATCGCCTCATTCAACAGCTTATCTTCCCTTGTGAACCATCTTGTGTGTTTTGCATTGCCTTGCAAAACTTTATTATTTTTTTTTTCCTGAAAGACCTTTGCCCAGTCTATAAAACCTTTTTTGCGTTTGACCTCAGCTGATAGCCTTTGCTTCTGAGAGAGCTCCGCTGAGCTGAAGGGAGGGGGACCAGTAGGGTGGAAGTAAAAGCCTGCTAGTACTGTGGCTTCTTCTGTTCCCTGTCACATATTATGCAGAGTGAAATCCAACACATCTGACTGTTTGATCTGCTCATTGCCGTCTTGGAGCACAGCTGGTAGGCAGGTGGGCTGTTAAGAGGCAAGACAAAGATCTGAGATCTGCGATCTTCTGAACTTCCAAGCAAAAAAAAAAAAAAAAAAAAAAAGAAAATGTTTTATGCTGCTTGAACACCCAACGCGGTTGGAGGGGAGGGGAGGAATTTGGAATCGGGACTTTCTTGCTTTTGGATCTGACGCGGCGCATTGGTGTGCGTGCTTCTTGCCCAAACAGAAGGTGACTTTTCATGTGTAATTCTTCCCAAAGATATGAATCAAGAGTCTCTGAAGCAACATCTGGAGAAGTCCCAAGAGAGAAAACTGTGATTTCTCTGAACACAAAGATCTGTTCATTCACGAGTTTCTGGTATTCAGCCAGAAAACAGTGCCGTTCTCCCGTATCCATTTAATGTGGTTCCTAGCTTGTGCAACATTAACTTTCACTTTTGCCTTTTCTTCCAAGAACATGGTGCAGCACCACAATCACTTATTGGTCCTTCCAGATAGACATTTTGGGGACATTTTTACCCTGCTCGTGCCTGCTGTCGTCGTTCAGGCGGAGTAGCTGTTCTCAATGCTTCCAGCAGTCAGTTTTTCAGCCTCGGCTGCAAAACCATGGATAGGGCCTGTGAGTTAAAGAGCATCCAGACTTCGACTGGTGCAGGCACAATCCTAATGAAAATCTTCAGGCTGTCTCCGTCGACAGATTCAGTATAATGGTCAGAGATGAGCACTGGGAGGGGGAAGCAGGGAGGAGTGAGATGTTCTGCTTTATCTCATCCATACGTGAACAAAGTCAAATTTTAAGCGTGTCATCAACATGGAACTGCAGCTTTGAAATATGGACTGAAAAGGGCTGTACAAGCAGCTTCTCGACGACAACCAGTGGCAGAGTTTCTTTGTTAGGTGACTTCTGAGCTGAGTTCAAGTTGGGTGGTAAAAGTCCTTCTGTTTTTTTCCCCTGCATTTAAAAGAGCATTCCTATGCCCAGCCATTCATTATGTGGCAATCACAGGGGCGTTTCTGACTTAATTTCCTTGTGGTGACATCTCTCAGGTGGGAGCAGGTTGCTGGGGAAGAGGCTTGGGTGGGGGCGAGTTGTGCACTGAGACTATTTACGCTGAAAACTTTACGCTGCTGAGCAGCACCTTCTGAATGCCATAAAATGTGCACGGTTTCAGCGTGAGGAGGGAAATACTGATACTGCTATTTGGCAGGGTGTGGAAATGCGGCCACAAGAGTTAGAGCTCGGAGGGAAGGTGTGAATGAAAAAATAGCACAATTTTTTCTCCTTTTCTTTGCAGGCTAGAGATAAGCTAATGCTTGCGTGTGCATATGAAGTGTCCAAGGTCTGCAGCATGTCAGGCGTGGAGTGCCAGATTGTCTGTCTTTCTACCAGAACATTTATGCTTTAATTTGGGAAACGTGGTGGGAACCGATAGCATCTTGTTTCTGAGAGAGACTTTCTGATAATCTCACTGGTGGTATCGCGTCTCCGCGTGAGACACTAACTCCTGGCCCCTGCTGCAGTGAGGAACTCGGCAATAACACAGCGCTCGGGGTTGCTCTCGGGTCAGACGCTGCGCAAGGCACCCTTGGCACCCAGGCTGGGAGTTACCAGCCCTTTTGTTCCACAATTAAACTATACCATCAACTCTTCAGTTCAGTGAGGGGAGGGGAAGGACTCATTGCCTTTTCCCTTCTCGGATTTAACATTTCTTGTGTCACCCTGGAATCCTTTGGTCATGTTCCCAGAGTCCTTGTGTGAACTAGTGCTGTTTAGATGCCTTTTAATGAGGCGTTGAAAGAGATGGAGGAACTGGGGACTTTTTTAAAGGGTATTTGCATGATTTGCGTGCCATCTTTGCAATTCTGTGGTAGTGCCCAAAATCTGTTTAATCTTGTCAGCCGTGTTGCTGTTTGAGGAGAGGCCTCGGAGAGATGCATGGCTTCCAAAACGTCCATTAAATACTGGGCAGGTTATCGAGTATTTTTAATTTACTGCATTTTGGATACGTTGGGCAGGGATTCTCTTACAGATGAGCGCAGGCAGAGCTGTTTCACCAGAAATCCAGAACTACAACCTGCTGCATTTTGGTTCTGGAAGAGCTCTACAGGCTTTCAATTCGTTGCAGCGTAATACTGTTCTTCAAACAGATCGCACACAAACCCGTATGCCTTCTCTGCAGTCGGTTAACTCCTTTGTAACAGTTGACAGAGCACTGCAGCAGCAAATCTGGGTCACACACCCTACAAAGGACAAGCGACTACAGATGACAAGAGCTTGTGTGCTCTCTGTTGCTGAAGAAGAGATTAAAATTAGCTTCTGACTGTTATTCGAATTAAAAATTACCTAAGGGGGAAAGAAGGAATTCTCAAAAAGGCGACTGTTACGTCTTAAACCCACACAGTCTCAATCACGTATTACTCCAACTAAAGAACAGAAATGCAAAAATAAAAAGGCAGCAACCAAACTTTCTGGGAGAAAGGGGATTTCGTTTTCCCTCGTGTATCTCATAAGGGAAATACAAATGAGGTTATTGGGGACCCCAGACGGGTGTTCCTGTGCCGCCCTCCATGCAGTGCTGCAGCAGCATCTCTTCACTCTACCGTCTCCAAAATATCGCTGTGTTTAGCTGTGGAATAGTGCCATACACACATTTTGTCAAAATAAACCTTAACGAAATGGGTCTTACAAGACCAATGAATGAATTGGCTGCTAGCACAACTTTGTGCAGGATCAGCATTTTCCATAAGCACTTATAAAAAGTGATAGCAGAACCAGAGAGTACGAATATCTCAAAGTTGCTGCCTGGTGCCAAACGCTGTCAAGAACACACAAATTTGTTAATATAGTTTTAGATCAAGAAAACAAATCATATGTCCAGATTAAGGAATAGCCTCTATTTGAGGCGTAATCTCTCATTTTGCAGCGCTGTGCGTATAAATCCTTGGCAGCTTTGGAGATCACCTTCTCTAGCAGAGCAGATGTAGTGATATTTTTTTAGATCTCTGAACATTAAGGGGTTTTCTCTAATGTTAAATAAAATAGTCTTCTAAGCAACGAGGACTAACTATGTGGAGGTGAAGGCAGATCCCATTCTACAGCAATAAAGTATAAGAACTAAAAAAATGATTATTACAAGAAGCTTTGCACAAAGATGAATTCCAGAAAACATTAAACAGCTCTGTCTGCACTCTTCCTTAAGACAATCCCTGCCTAATGTAGCCTAAGTGCAGTAAATTAAAAGTACTCGATAACCTGCCCAGTATTTATTGGGCATTTTGGAAGCTGTACATCTCTCTGAGACTCCTCCTCAAGCACAAAGAGTTTTTGTTGCCAAAGTGAACTCTTACCGTGAGGCGGTGATGGCTGAAAAAGACCCGGAGGTGAGGATGGCACAGCTGGGAGTTTTGCAGCCTCCGGTTCCTCCCCGGGGGGCGAGACCCTGTGCAGTGATTTACGCGCCGTGCAGCACTGCCTCTCTGAAGGGGAGTGAGGCCTGCGAAGAATGGTCTCCTGTTCCATCGTCTCCTTTTCCTTCGTGTCTCCGTTCTGGAGGTAGACAGCTTCTTTTCAGCACTCTCTGCTTGGATTTTCCCATAGCTGTCTGGTTCATCTCAGGCTTCTGTGATTGCTGTCCTTGGTGGAGCTGCTTTAGCTGCGATTCCGGTGTGGACGAGTCACTGAAACTTGAATTACCCGGACACATAGTCTTTCTGCAAATAACATCCCATAATTGTGGCCTGTGGGCATCTATATCCCCAGTCACAGTGACAGAAATGTTAATGGGAAAAACACTGTTGGTAAACAGAAAAAGAGATCAGTGAAGTCCTTGGAGCCTGGTGTTCTCCAACAAAATCTGCCTTGTTCTGGGGGACGGATTGGGGTCCAATATAAAGACAGAAGGATAGTTGGGGAAGATGGTACCTGTGGGTTTTTTCCTGCTTTTAAATATTTAGCAGGGTTTTTTTTTTCTTGGTTTATTTTGCATTTTAAAAACACTTTTGTTTGCCCTAGTTGCCTTCCAACATTGAATGCTGGGGATCTGTAGAAAAACCTAGACTAAAGGAGGTCACATTTGGCTTGAAAGTCTCCTTTTTAGGTCTTTCTGGTGACAGGCTTTATGTTCAACTCAACAGCATTTCTGACTGTGGGTAGTGTAATGCAGATAGGGTCTGAATGCTGCAAGTGAGAAGCGAGAAAAGTTCTGGGGATGTTCTAGGCACCACTAGACAGAACTGTATTGATTTAGGAGGAAATCCCAAGGAGGAAATAGTTCTTGTCAGCTGATTACTTGAAATTATGGTTATGCTACTCTCACAGATGTCTGTAAATTAAACTGCCAACAGTTGGCATCTGCCACTGTCACAGTGCTATAGGTCATCCTTCCCGTAGAATTCAGTCTGATGTGAGTGACTTACCTGCCACACAAATAGCGAGGGAGCATTTGGGAGTCGGGAGGAAGGCAGATTGTGCTTGGGAGATGTGTAGGTAGCCCCAGCATGGAGAAGAGATTGGGGAGATAGCGTGGGACAGAGGGAAGCAGTGCCCAGCCCCCTGGCAAGCAGATACTGAAGGAGTAAAAGAGTCCCAGGCAAAAAGGGGCGCCCACAAATGATATTGTGACCTGAACTGTCACGTGCTAAATGTTTTCACGTGCTGGCGGTTCTTTTCGTGCTGCAATTCTGGACTTCCTTGATTTTTGTCTCCAAGTTGCTATCTTTCCTCCCTGAATTTATGTGGAGGTATTACCTACTAAAAGAGGGAGGGGGTCATGTTGGTTTTGGGGAGATTTTCCTACCTTATAACTTGCCAACAATGCAGCATCTGAGAAGTTTAAAGTGGAATTAGCTGACATTTTCCTTCTCTCCCAGGAATTCAGGAGTCTTTGAAGAACAGCCCATCTATATGGGCTGAAGGCAGTGAGCTTGCGGGTAATTGTTTCTGTCTGGAAACCTCTCTGCTGATCCCTAAAACCAGGAGGGAACGTTTGACGTTGCTTACAGTCAGTGGGGACTTTTTTTTTTTTGTCTACTGCGTAGTTTCAGCTCAGAGCAACTGAAGATGGAGTGAAGAGCTTAATCAGGAAGATATGAAAAGATTTCTTTTTCTTTACTTTACAGAAAAGGCCACAGATGGCTCTCTGCAGAGCGAAGACTGGACACTTAACATGGAGATCTGTGACATTATCAACGAGACAGAAGAAGGGTATGTGCTGTTTCAGCAAACTTTGAAAGGTTCACGAACGCCACCTTCATCCAGTCATACTCAGCATGTGAGGAGGCGCAGTGAGTCTGGGGGCAGATGCTCATAGTTTGAATATGGGTTGCTTAGTTTTCCTGCTCCTTAGACATTTCAGAAAACTACTGTATGATGCAGCACTTTCTGTGGTCGGCCTCTGCTTGGGAGGGCTGGCATGAACGTGTAGTGTTGGAGAGTTTGTACTCCGGGGGTTCTTGTTTTCAGCAGGTGTATCTCTTTGCAGTGCTGCACCGCTATTAATTTCAGCCATTTGAACAGAGAGCTGCTCTCATGTGTCTCCTTCCGCGTCCGAAAAGCTGTGCTGCCTGCAGTTTGCAGGAGAGCCGATCGCTGGTCTTACGCCCTGGGCCTTTTTCTGAGTGGTTGTCAATCTTTCCTGCTTGATCAACATCTTGCCTTTTCGGAGGCCTCGGGCATTGCTCTGGTCTTGACTTCTGTGGTACCTTGTCTCCTCGCCTAATTCTCCATGACCCTAGTTTGGTTGTAGTCGAGTAATCTGAAGGTAACACGCATGCTTCTGTCCAGCTGGAAATGGTCAGGGATTCCTTTTCCCACGGTATATGAGATGTGAAAAGTGTGTCTGAGCTGTCTTTTAAAAACAGTGTGTTTCTCCTTCAGTCCAAAGGATGCCATTCGAGCACTGAAGAAGAGGCTGAATGGAAACAAAAATTACAGAGAGGTCATGCTGGCGCTGACGGTGAGTGGGGGCAGGCTGGAATGCCTCAAAAGGGCAGAACCCTTTTCTTTTGTCATTTTCCTTTTCCTGGCAGTCTCTTGAGTGTACACACTATTTGCTTTAACAGTCACTGCTCTGCCCTTTTCTTCTCTCCAGTTGCCTCCTCGCTTCCTTGGGGAGAGTTGCTGGAAGCTTTGCATAGCGTTTTTCTGACTCAATTGATTTCTGCTTTTTTCGGGGCTCTTGTTCATCCCAAGTACTGACTGAGGAGAATTAAAGTAGCCCAAATGGGTCTGTGTACCCTTCGGGGCTTTCCCTTCTACTCTCATCTCCCTGTGTCCAGCTGTTCCTCCACTCCAAGACAACAGCTGTGGGCGTATCTGCAAGTGAGGATGATGAACTTGCTGTATTTTCAGCTTCATGAGTAGCTGATGCACAATTTCCCTTGTGAATGGATCTCTGTAGGAGACTTGAGTTAATTTATGCTGATCTAATTTCACTCAATAAAGCGTAAATTATATTCTGTGAATTTAGCCAGCACTGCTAAGGTGTGAGACAATTTGCCAGTGACCTTTCTTACTGATGACTTTAGGGGTTTCCTGGGTAATACAGCGCTCCTGAACGTGCGGTGCTGGGCAGGCTCTGCGCCTCAGCAGTCTGAGGAACGAGCAGCAGTAACTAGATCGAGTTATGGCTGCTGTGGGTAGGTGATCTGTATGATTCTTTGACACGGCTCTTGTTGCATCTCCCTGACGAAGCGTGACTGTACTTTCTGTCTTCTTGCCATTTCCTATCCTGGATTGTCATTTTGACAGATTACCAAAAACCAAACCGTGAGATTATCCATTGTACAGAAAAGAGCAAAATTAATCAGGAGTGGGTCTGTGTCATCATGGCTGATGAAAGTAGCTGAGGTAGGAGAGTAATTACAGACTCCTCGGGTACAGAGTCGCAGTGGTTATTAGGCATGGCTGTAAGGAGAAGCGACACGTTGGATTGATCTCCATGCTAATCATGTTCTTCAGAGAAAAACCAACAGCTGTTCTTCCATGGCAGTTGAATGGCAAGTGGAAGGTGCCTCTAGCTAGGTTGCAGGGGGAAAATGTGTCAAAGTATAACCTGTCAGAACATTCACAAGGGAGTGTTTTGAATGAGTGAAGATCATTCACCTGAATTCCCAACTCTAAAATATGGCTTATAGCTCAGAGCAACCGGCTCCAGCTGTGTTCCAGGTCCATAGAAAATGGTGGAGTGCCACAGCACGGTAATATCTCACTGTGACAGGATGTCCTCTGTCTTACCTGCTCTTGATGTAATGCTGTGTATTTACCTGTTCAGCTGCCCAGGTTGGAAAGTTCTGCTTTGAGGAGGAAGAAATTTTCTATTTCTTTACTTTAAGAACAGGCAAAGGTAGATCACAAAAGTGCCCAATATGTTAATGGTGGGTGAGGTACATCTAAATGTGTGTGTAGAGTGGAAGCTTTTTGGTAAAATGGGGGAAGAAAAGAAGAATTAAGAATATAAGTGTAGTTTCTCCTTTATCTTTTCTTCCTCTCATGAAAAGTTTTAAAACAATATTAAAAAAATAATAATAAAATCAGAAACAAACCACACAGGTGCTGTGTGTGTGATGAAGGCTTTGGTCCAACAATGAATGTTTTTTGTTTTTTTTTTATGTCTGTGTAGGTGTTGGAGACCTGTGTGAAGAACTGTGGCCATCGCTTTCATGTCTTAGTGGCAAACCGTGACTTCATAGATGGTGTGCTCGTGAAAATCATCTCGCCCAAGAATAATCCCCCCACTATTGTACAAGACAAAGTACTAGCGCTGATTCAGGTACTCAGCTTGTCTCTGCTTCCATATGTTACTGCCTGAAATAAGGACTGTCTGCCTTAGTGCTACGCATCACTAAACATGCTGTCATCATTAAAAATGTGGCGAGTTTTTTATATGTAAAAACAAACAATATATCCAGATTGGCAGGGAAGAGCAGACACACACGTGCATAGGTGTTTTATCCAGCGAGAAAGGTCTGGATTCTAGTTAGAGAGGTACCACTCTACTCTAAACCAAGAGGACTTAATAAAAGACAAAGGGATGGCTTTGCAATTTAACAGTCACATCTAGAAGCTGGAGACCTGCTTCTGTGATGGACTTGTCATCTGAGGCCAGGAAACTTTAGAAGATCATGCTTTCGCTGTCGGTGGCAGAACACTTCCCTTTCTGTTTCCCTGACTGTAAAATGGAGCAGTTTCCCTCCATTAGAAAGCGTTCTGAATTCCTTTTAAAGATGGTTAGAGAAAAGTAAATGACCATATAGAAGTTAAAACGGTTTTGGCGTCTTTTCTCTGGTTATTGTGCAGTAAAAGCGCGCTGTCAGATCCTTGCCTGCAGTGGGGAAGTTCAGACAGAGGCCTGTCTGCCATTTCTCCTTCTGTGCAGCGTAACAATAAACAGCCATGTTAATTCTGCAAACCATTAGCAACACATGAGGAAACATTGGTGCCTGCCTGGAGGAAATCTGACAATTATAGGAAGCTTTATCACTAAGCTCCTACAGGCTATTGCGTACACCAGAGACTAAAAGACACTGCGTATTTAAAATGATATAAACCCGCTGCAGTGTTTCTGGTGGGAAGGCGCTCACAAACGCGCAGCATCGTTTTCCAGATGCGCTTCTGATTATTGTGGCAAGGCGTGCAGTTGAATTTCTGCTGGTTTATTTGTTGTTTGGATAAACAGGTAGAGCGTGACAATGTAAACAAGGGATTTCTGAATGGGAGAGAGGCTGGGCGGGGATTAGGTGGGCATTGCTTTGGGGTCTGTGAGGCTCCTTTGTGTCTGGTCTCTGATCTCAAGGCTTTTTAAAAAAAGTGGCACAAAATTGATGAAGTTCATTAAAAGCAATTCTTGTGCGTTTAACTGAGCCCTCGGGGGTCTGCCTGCTTTGGTGGGAGAGCTGCTGCATGCAGTGACCATAAATACTGTCCCGTGAAGAGAAACTGTCCGTGTTTCCGTACTGTTTGCTCTGCTACAGTATCTTAGAGAATGTTGCTTGTGCTGGGTCCTGGATTCCAGTGGATTCCCAGTCATCAAGGCAACTAAGATGGAAGTGTTTGTAACCTAACCAAAAAGCCTCAGTGTATTAAACAGAGCTTTTTCTGAGTAGACTTAGCGCAGTTGTGCTAAAAGCCTCGCTCTGGTTTAGAAAGTCTGAGAGCTCTGCAAGTTGCCTGTGGGTGGGTTCTGTTGGTGTCTCTTTAGCTGGAGGTGGCAGGGGACTTTGTTTTCCAGATTGCCTGACGAGGCTGGAAAAGTGATTGCAGTCACTCATCTCAGGTGCCCCGTGGACACCAACACCCAAAATGTCCTGCGTGTCGTGACCGCTTTGCTCAGCTTAGACTTTGCTCTTTAGAGCTCCCTGCGCTTGGAGTTAACTCCATTCCAGAGGGCTGATCTCTTCTCAGCTCTGCTCCACTAACATTACATTTATCCCCTTCTGTAGGCTTTTTACAATTTGATATCAGGGAAATAATAAGAGAAATGAGAGGATTAATAGCACTTGGAAGCATGGTAAAAAGCTGTACAAACAGCATATGTCTTCAGCCATACGGCCCTTGTGCTCCTGGGCCTTTCCATAAGTAAGGGTAGATGAAGCTGCTGCCCAATTTCTTATCGACAGACTTGACTGGTTTGAGATGTTGGGCATCTCGTGTCTCACTTTCTCAATCTTCTTCCCAGTGTACGTGAATTGGGATGTATTACATGTGGCTTATCCTTCCTTCTTCACCTTGCTAAAATGCCTTGGAAATACCCCTTATTGCTGTGCCTCTGCTCAGAACTTGCATATCACCTCAGCGTTCATACCACCTTACTGCCCAGTACCTGAGCACTGGCATCAAAGACGAACCATGGGGAAACTTTCAGTGGTGTGGCAAATTCTTTTGAGGGCACATGTGCGAAAATTGTCTTGGGCTGATTGCTGATTTAGGGGCCAGATTTGCAATGGTATTTAATTAACCTGTTTGGGCACACCGAGGTGCCAAGAGGGATTTATACAGCAGCATCCTTAAGTGTCTACTCTAGATAGTCTGGCCCAAAGTCTTAGATCATCTGAATTCAGTCTCACCTCTGTCCTACGCTTGTTTGGACAATGGGCAAGTCTCCTAAGCTGTGCGTAGCTCCTGATCCGTAAAGCAGAGCTAATGTTACTGTTGCCTGGTTGAATTCTAAGCTGTCTGGGACAGGGATTGTCTTACAATGTGTGTAGACAGCACTTAGGACAACAGCACCCAGTCCTGCTTGTGACCCGAGGGACACACTAATGTAGATAATGCTTCCAGCTCAGGCGAAGGAGAATACAGATGAAAGTGTCTCCTTTCTCCAGGGGAGAGAGTTGCAGAAGAGAGAATATATTAGAAAGTTAGAGCGCAAATGATGTGAGTTCGCTGTCATTAGTGCCTACAACAAAACGTATAGGAAGCCAGTGAAACAGGGGATGCATTAATGCATCCTCCTGGACAAACAAGCCTCATTAAAAGTTGGAGGCAGCAGCGCGACATACTTTTGCCTGCAAGTTTCTTTTGAGTGATTATTAAATACAGCATCCCTTGCCTAACCTTTTTCACTCTTACTTGCGAATAGAGCTGAAGTGAGGAACACCACTACGTAGAAGCACCGTTCAGATGACGTCTTTTGTAAATTGAAAATGCAGAGAAAGTGCAAGGGTAGAGTTACTTGGACAGTCAATACCTCCGTCAGAATTAGGGACGGTTTGGAAGGTCAGTTCCAAGGAAACAGAATGGCTCTTTGCAATTGGAGCTGTTTTCTCTGGCTCAAATAGGGCTGTTTGGACTTGCACTGCATCAGAACAGTTGATGCAGTTAATTTACTCTTGACAAAGCTGAGAAGCAAACTCAGAATTGTTAGCTTGGAACTGATAATGGATTGTCTCCTGGGCGCGTAGGGTAGGAAATGCTCTTTCTTAGAACTGAACAGAACAGGAGCGTAAGTTAAATATTAATATTATTTCTTATCTTGCTTTGCTGTCTTTGATTTCTCTCCTCTCAAATATAAAAAGTGATTAAAAAGAGCTTTTAAAGTAAAAATAGTCAAAGAACTAGTGTAAAAGTGATGACTAAATGAATTAAGTTCAGAGCCCACACACGCGTCTCGCAGCAGTTCTGGATCCAGCACACTGATACTCTACCTCATGTATGTGGGGGTTTGTGGAATGCTTCGTTTTTAATTGAGTCATAATATTTCAATTTTTCCTTCCTCTAAATTTTTAATACTTGGCTAATTTCCAGTGAAAGGGGTAGAGGCTTTCAAGATGTTATGCTCCTAGCAGCTTCATGAGTAGAGAAGGCTGGCTAATGAAGAGAAACACTTAGTATTCCCGCTGAAGAAAAAGCTCAGATGTGAATTGCAGTCTCTGTAGACACCAGAGAATTCATGCGGGAGACACATTATCAGTGTTCTGGCTATGGGAAGTTCTCCCTTTAAACTTATTCTTTCTGCCACACCGGGGTGTCTTAAGTGTTGGATATGGTCTGTAAGAACTCAGGCTTCATTAGTTCTCCTGCTCGTGGGACCTCGTGTTTCACAACGTAAGAACCTCAGAAACCACCTTTTTTTTTAATTTAAATTTGATCCAAATAAACTGCTGACGAAAACTTGACAGCTGTGTGTTTTCTTTGGCGACGAGTGAGGATGTTTCACAGAGTAAATTGAGATTACCTCAGATTATTGTGTGACTTGATGAATTTTGCTTAGATCAATTTAATCTTTCACGCAGACTTTTTCTGGTGGGTCAGTGGCCATCGAATATGCCAGAAAAGATCAGCATGCCATCACCGCCAAGTAGAGGAGAACGGAAGAGGCTTTCATCTGCATTTACAGATTTTGATGATGTCAGGGGCTAGACATAGCTACTGTGCACTGGGTTCCTGTCTGATATTTGAATAAAATGCGTACGTGACTGTCTTAGTCATACTTGCAGAATCTTTTAGACCAGGTCTAATGATTACAGCTTCCCTTTGAAGCCGAAATACATGAAAGCTTTTGTAGTCAGTATCTCCCAGGGTCGGGGTAGAGCTGGAACTTTGTTTGGAGGGTTTATGGATAATCCCTTCTGTTTTCCAGGCTTGGGCTGATGCCTTTCGAAGTAGCCCTGATTTAACTGGAGTAGTACATATTTATGAAGAACTCAAGAGGAAAGGCATAGAGTTTCCCATGGCAGATCTCGATGCTCTGTCTCCAATACACACACCACAGAGGGTAAGCTGCAGCATTGAGGTTCCAGGGGTATTTTCCCAAAATGTCGAAATAGTTGGATAACTGCTGCTCTTTCTCCTCCTGTTTCTCTGAATTTGGCTTATTTTCTCAGTCCTGGAAGGGCTTTTTTTGATAATGAAAGGGCATGTAGGAGAAGCATAATACAGCTGCATTTGACAGGCTGATAAGCTAATGGTATCTCCTCCCTTGAGTCAAACATCAGAGAGGAGAAATGAGTTTGGAGGAGGTTTGTACGCTTGTCTTGTACCACAGAACCACCAGACAAATGCAACGAATTCATTCAAAGGGCGTCCAGCAGGATATATGATGGAGAGTTACTTCCTTTGCCCAAAAGTAAGATTGTTTCTGTTGGTGATAAGGTGTACGGAGGCTGAATCTCTCCCTGATCTCATGTTAATGTGAGATCTTTACACCTCTGAAAAGTTAGTCTGGAAAGCTGACAGAACTGCTGCTAGGGCGTACCTTAATGATCACAGGTGTTCTGATTATTCCCTCTGAAAACTGAAGTTAATGAATCTTTGAAGTGGTAAATGCAAGTGATCAAGGACTGAAAGATTACAATTCTGGTGTCAAGACTAATTAAATGCAGTAGCTATGTATCGCATCGTTGTTTGTAAGCCTGCAACTTAATTCCTAGTTTAAAATAATTTACAATGATTTATCTTTGGCTCTTCTTTTGTTTTGCTTCTCACCTTTCTCGTAAAGGTGAATTGACTGAAATGCATATGGGTTGCGTCAAAAGGTGTGGGCCTGCATTTTTGTTGCAGCTGTCTGCTTATGGCTGGTCTGCCAGGCCGTTCTCCAAACTGCACTGACCTTTTCCACAAGGTGCAATGATGTTCTATATTTGAACGTATTTGGCCTGAGGTTGCTGACAAAGCAAGTGCTGTCACAATCCAGCTTTTGAACTCCTGTCTTTCTGATGTGGCAGAGCGTTCCTGAAGTTGATCCTGCAGCAAATATGCACAATTCACAGTCTCAGCAAAGGATGAGCACCGGTTCTTATTCTTCATCTTCTCCAACGGCGTATTCTGCTCCTCAGGCCCCAGCTCTGAATGTGACCGGTCCCATCACTGCTAATTCTGAACAGGTATTGGGATGATGATTCTTTCGAGCGAGACTCTTTCAGCAGGTCAAATTAGAAACCAATTTGCAGAGGAACTTTCGTTTTTAACGCTTTTTACTTTGATTGCCTCCTAGGTCTGGTTCTACTTAATAATCTTTCCTCCTATTATGCTGTAGAATCTAGGCTTTCGACTTGTGTGCGTGGCCTCCTAATGGCAGCAGTTAAGAAGCCTCACAATCCGATATCCCAGTCCACTCCGCGGTTGTGCAGCTGGTTGGCAGTTACTCTCATTAGCCCGCCTCCTTTAATGTCTTGCAGATGCAGGAAGTCTAACGGGGAGTTAAGTCTGCATCCATAAGACCCTTGCAAATGCCCTCATAGAGGTGGTTCTTTTCTCTCTGCCAAAAGAATAACTTCAGAGCCAAAGAACCTGCTCAAAATGTGTACACCTTTCCCCACGCTTCAGTGAGGCATGCAAGGTGTACTGCAGCCGAGGTCTGGTTTTAGCTGCTGGTTTCAGTTGCTCCCCTTCCGTACAAGCATAGCACGTCTGGGTTTGTGATGGTAGTGAGTGGTTCTACAAAGTTCCTTTCTCTTTCTGTTGCTTCTCTAAAATTCTCTCTGGGTAAACTTTTTATCTTTACTTTTTTTTTTTTTTTCCCCCTGCTAGAATGTCTGGAGCCTCAGATACCAAGTCAGGCAGAATCAGAGGTATCACAGAGTCAGTTCTTGAAAATGATCTGCTTAAACCAAAAGATTATGCAGTATTTTGCTGTCTTTTTACCCCAATGTAGATTGCCCGGCTGCGCAGCGAACTGGACATTGTCCGGGGGAATACAAAAGTGATGTCTGAAATGCTGACAGAAATGGTGCCTGGACAGGAGGATTCCTCAGACCTCGAGTTACTCCAGGTAACAGTTTCCTAGCAAATATGGCTCTGATCCTTTCTGTGCTTGAGTTTCTGTGGTTTGTCTTGCAGTTCTCGTCACTGCCTTGGTTTGCTGGGTTTATGTAATGAATGTGGGCTGTGCTTGACACTGCTTAGTCTCATCACTTGATGTTCTTCATTTGTTTAAAGCTTCCAGTGACTAGGATTTCTTGACTTCCCTTAAAACTTATTCCAGTGCTTTCTTCTCCATGTAGCTAGAAATTTTTCCCAGTGTTCGGTATAAAGTCTCCTTTACCACAAAGCACCTTAGAATTGCCATAGGATCTGTGTAAACCATGAGCATGTCTGCTTCTTTTACATCCTCCATCATCACTCATACGGTGTCAAAACATTCCTAGTGACTGCAGGAAAAAAACCACTCCATGTTTCCCACTGGACTAAATATTGCCAAGGGTCTGTGGATTCTCTTGCCACTTGAAATCTTACATATGAACTAACTGTCTTTCCAGCAGATGTGCTGTAGCTTCTCCTGAAGGTAAGGTCTTAAGGCAGGTGCTGAGGTGAAGTTTCATCCTGTCTGAAGGGTTGCACTGGGTAATCAGAAGGTGTTTCCTTGCCGGAAAGTCTCAGTCCAGTGCAGCATTATCTCCAGAGGGAAAACGGTTGAAGTTGAGCTCCTGCCTCAGGTTTCATACCTGTTGCCCTAGGCCAGTGGTAGCAGGGTGGCCTTTTGGCTGAGGAAAGTAATAAAATACTGCGTGCAACACAGATGAGGACTAGTGTGATCTAGCATTCCAGCTGTTGCCCTTAACGTGGTATTTGCCTTTCCATAGCTTCAGAAATAGGCCTCTGTTTTGATCCTCCAGCGGGAAGGATGGGCTCCAACAGCAGTGTATTTGGAGGAAGGCAGGGAATTGCTCTCTGTGATCCATCAGAGTTTGAAATCCATCCAAAAACTGGTCTCTCCCATGCAGTGGTATTGTGTGTTTGTCTCGGAGCCATCATGGCAGCTGATGAGAGGCTTTGCAATAAAGAGCCTTTCAGTTACTGCCCATTTGGGTCAGCCTGCTCAAAACAAAAGAAGCTTCCAGGAAACCACGGCAGACCAAACCAGCATAGAACAGTTTGCTTACGTTCAGAAACAACTACCAACATCTTGACAGCGTAACCTTACAGCATAGCTTTAAGGTGAAAGAACTTGATCGTGAAATGGAGTGACAGCAACGATTCCTTATTCCAACTGGTCCCCTCCTTTGACTGATGCATCCTAAATCTGAATCACAGAGCTGGGGAGAACCCGGTTTTGATCACAAAGGACGGTTAGTCTTTTGAAAGCTGCGAGCCGGGTGCTGCACGCAAGGACTCCTTGCTTTGAGGTTTATATAGCCCTCCTCCTTAAATAATTCCTGACATTTTCTCCAACAATCAAATGTAAACAGCTTGCTAGAGAGCCAGCTCTGAGCAGAATAGATAGGTACTGTCAGCCCTCTCGGAAAGGCAGCAAACAAACCTCTGAAATGTCACAATCTGCTTCTAAAGTGATGGGATCAAAACTGACATTGGAGAACACATTCCTCAAGCTGTTAAGGCAGCTGGATTGCACTAGGTGAAATTTATCCAGAGCTTAGGATGTCAGCCCAAGCAAGGAAAACAAACACATTTTTGCTTTCATCCCGAAGGTTGTGTACCAACAAGTCATCCTTGTTTAGTGCTGAATTTTTGCTGTGAAGTGGAGCTGGGGGGCGGGTAGAAGATGACAGAGGGACATGCTTTAGTTGAAATGTCAGTGCTTATTGAAGTAAAACCGTGGGCCTAATCAGTGGCGCCGTGCCATATGTCACATTTCTCCTTGTCGCTGCTCCTCAACCGACCGGTTTTGACCTTTGGTCTTGAGGCCTTTCAGGAGTAAAGAATTCTGCTAAGTAATTGGCGGTGGAAGAGGTGTCCTGGAAGCATGGGAACTCCTGGTTTAGGCAAACTCAAATCTAGATTTCTTGGCATGAGACGTCTGAAATAAATGCCCTTACTCTATATTCTTTAACATTTTCTTCTGAAGCTCCCCACTGCCTTTTTGCAGTCTGTTGTCTGTGGGCTTGCTCAGTTAAGGGGAACGTGGATAGTCGAAGGGTGTATCGTGCAGCACTGAAGTGTGTGCAGTGCTCATCGTTGCATGCTCCTGCTCCTTGTTTTGTGTTGACCCTCATGTTCTCAGTAGGTGGTGACTTCTGCATCCCCAGCCCTTCTCTTCCTAGCTCACAATTAGCTACTTGTGGTAGCCCTGATGAACTTCTCCCCCCCAACTTGTCTCACCATGTGTATCTTTTAGTTTTTAAGGATGATACTGCCAAAAAGAGCAGATTGAATTTTCCTTGAAAGCTCTCTTCTGGAAAGCTGTTGTATTAACATGTTTTATTCTTAAAACAGATCACTGAAATACAGATATTTATTTTCTGAAGTGCTCAGGGTTAAAGAAGAATCAGGATGTTGAATTGTAAATAGGCTCTCAAGGTTTTATGCCATCGTCTCTTGAAGGGCATGTTTGATTAGATGTGCTTTTGGGTGACATTTAATCATGCAAAGATAGACTTCTCGTAGTGTTTCTCAGCTGGGGGATATGTTTGGCTGTGAACAGAGCTCAACTAAATCTCCTTATTGGTAGCTGCTTATCAGAATGTGTGTGCACAATGCATTCTTCCTAGGAACTGAACCGAACCTGTAGAGCTATGCAGCAGAGAATTGTGGAGCTTATCTCACGAGTGTCCAATGAAGAAGTCACGGAGGAACTGCTGCATGTGAATGATGATTTAAATAACGTCTTCCTCAGATATGAAAGGTGGGGCACCTTTTCCATCAACTATTTGCATTTGTTTTGGGGTTTCACCTAATTGTAAAATAGGTCAGTTGACAAGAGTTGGCCATCTGGGCCAACGCTCCAACACAAGAATATGCAGAGAACCAAGCCACAGAAAGCCTTCACAAAGTCTTTCTGTGCTCTTTTATGGTAACATTCCTGTGTCTGTTGTTTCCTTTAATACTATGATTTACTTTTTTTGTCCTAGCCGTTGAATTTTTGTGGGGCCTACCCATAAAACGCAGGGCAAAACGCTCTGAACTAGCAGAGACGTGAGTCTGCAAGTCCCTGTCGTGTGGTGCTGTACAGATGTAGGGACTTGGGACCAAAAATAGCACAGCCACGGTCGCTAGTTCTGCTCGCTAGCTTGGGATGCTTCCTGGCGTAGGGAGGCTCCCGTGAGCTCTCTGTGTCTTCTGATCTCTGAGCTTTCGAGGGCCGGTACTGGTGCAAGAGGAGCTTTTGGAGGTGGGCGTGACCTTCATGCATGCAAGGGATTTGTTTTTAAGTAACACTTAAAATCTTGAAAAAAGCCTGTCTTGCACAGAGCTGAGGTTTTGAAGAGCTGGTCTGCAGGAATCATCCCCAGGGGTGGGACCTGGGTCATGGGACTTTCGACATGTTAGACAAAGGCGCTGTCAGTCACATCTGCTGCAGTAGGTGACACGTGATACAGCAATCTTGGGAAAGTTTAATCTTCCCCTTAATGACAGGCCTGGGGAGTGAGGCACTAAAGAGTACCCTTTGTTCCTTGCTCTTAGCACAGGGCTTTGTTTCTCCAGCCTTTAAAAATAAATTAGGCTCTAGATCTGTGAATCTGTGCTGTCACAGCAGAGGCTGGGAAGAAGACTCAGTGGCCTCGATTTTATCTTTGATTTAATCATTCAGAGGAGATCAGGGCAAACTTTGAAACAAATGCTTTCTTTTCATGTGAAATGGTACGTGTTTCCTGCACGAGCATGATTTTACAAGCGGCAGAGTGTCATTGTCACTAAGGCTTAGTCTGGTCACCCTTAATATTTTTTCTGTTTTCCTCCATCTGCGACTGCTGACTGGGGCTAATGTATTTGTAGTCATTAGCCACTGAAAGGTGAGCTGAGTGATGATAGCAAGCTGCTTGTGGTAGAAAAGCCGCACTGGTCTGAGCGTCTCAATAAATTCCAGTTCCTCCTCTGCTATTCCAAAAGCTCCACGTTCCTCACGCTGATTTCTAGTATGGGTGCTGAGCTCGGTTGGTGACTCAAGCAGGAGCTCTGGCCTCTGCTGCGAAGCTTTGGACGCAAACGAACGTGTGGTTCATAAGCCTTTTGGTGAGAAGTACGAGGTGGGAGGTGTCTTAGGTTTCCAGCTAAGGGAGCTGGATTTCCAGTAATAGTAGACACCCACAGTTGCCTAAAATTGAAATTTGGGCCTGAATTTGGGTTTGCTGCCTTTTAAGTCTGTATTTTCCTCTGTCACATTAAGAGAACTTTTTAGTTTGCTTGAGATTCCCTGTTATGTTTTGTCCATCTGGGAGAAAACCCACAGGCTTATATGACTGTTGTGGGTTTTTTACTGAAAAGAGGGGTGACATGTGAAACTCCTTTTAAATGAGGAAAAATTGAAACCTCAGAGAAATCACAGTACTTTTCCTGGTAAGGAAGGAGATCGGACTAGCCTCAGACAGGCCTTGGGAGGAGGTCGTTCCCCCTGCGTTTTTGAGTTCCTGAAAGCTGGGTATAGGTTTGTGGCCCCAGATATACAGCTGGATGGGGAAGGAGTAGAGAAGAGACCAGATCTTGACTAGCCAGACTTTTTCCCCTGAAAAGTATGAGGATTTTTATCCAACATCATTATTTTTCATTCTTGGAAAGTACCAACCTATTTGAACATAGGCTCTGATGATCTTTGAGCTGACCTAGAATGTTTTAAGAAATGAATCTGCTGATGATTGTTTCTCTTGCCTGGGTAGGGCTGCGCTAGCATGCACATGGCTTCTAATTTACACGTCTGGCAGCAAGAGGGAGCTGTTAAATGGGAGTAAGACTTGCTGCGGTGCTCAGCTTATTTAGCTGGGAGCATCGATCTCGCTGCAGTTCCTCCTGTCCCTTGGCTAACAGAATAGTCCATCATGAAGCACTTAATGGATGGAAAAAACCTCCACAACAACCAAACAAACACCAAAAAAGCCCAGAGACAAATGCTACAGTGTTTTTCAAGCATGTGTGTGCTGCAAGATCAGATTAGTCGACTTAATATCCACATTTGCCAGGAATGCAACTTCTGCAACTATCCTGCCTTTGCCCTGGCTTGGAGTTAAAGCTTTCAGGGTTCCCTGTTGAACCAATGAAAGCAAAGTTCGTTGGCAAGTGGGTTGTGGCTTTGTTATAAACTCCTGTTTTTCATTGTTTACTGGTGGCTTTGATAGTCCATGTTGGATTTTTGGGTTTTTTTCTAAACAGATTTGAACGATACAGATCGGGACGTTCGACACAAAACGCCAGCAATGGAGTAAGTACCTAATCCATTCATTCTATCAGCAGCTACACCATACTAGCTGTAGTAATATCACTAATTTCAGGTCTTTTACCTGTCCAGCCCTGTGTCCTCCTGGTAGTGGCTAATTGTGGGTACCAGGACAAGAGTGTAAGAATGCGGCAAAGCGCAAGTGACGACTTTTAGCTCAGGAAGACGCTGCACAAAACATCTCTGTGTTTACAATCCTTGATGGATTTTCTTTCCTCTATTAACTTTGTTGATTGCTTTTGAGTCCATGTGGACTTTAGGCATTCACAATGTCCTTAAGCAGTGAGTTCCACAGTTTCACTATGCATTTTTATGTATTTATGTGGGTATTTATATATAATAATATTCTGTTTACATTTGATCGTCACTTAATGATTTTTATTTGCTCTACCTAATTCTTCTTCACTGTGTCTTATAATACTGTTGTTCAGGTTAACTTTCATCATGCCACTCATAATTTTAGGAACCTCTCTCATCTCCTTGTTTAGCAGCCACTTTCCAAGTTGAAGACTTAAATTTCTAATTATTCTTTCAATTAAAACAATTTTGTAGCTGTTTTATAGCGTTGAGGATCTGAGTTCATGTTGAATTCATATGTGGCACTATTACATTTTCTATTCTGCATTCTTCTAACCGTTTCCTCTGTTTACTGTGCCTGTTTGACTGCCACTTCTACAGCAGTGTGATGCAAACCAGCCCAGGCTCTGCACTGTAACTTCAATCACAACAAAGAAATTTTATTTCTGAAAACCATTTATACCTACGTGGAAGATGGTAGCAAATTAATTTTGGCTTAGATCTGATGTTGGTCCAGCGCTAAAAGAGGTTGAGAACAAAGACACATCAGCTAAACATGAAGAGATGTAGGTGACCTCCAGGAGAGTTTCCTGCTGTGCTGAGCAGTCAAACTGAGGTTTTTTTGGTGGCTGACCCTTTTTATTCTGCGCTCATCCCCATAGTATCTGAGAGACTGGTCCATTTGGTGGTGTGCAAGACAGATCTTTTTAGGAAGCGCCGGTTATTTTTTGGTGTTTCTGCAAGAAGAAATCTCTGGTGTGGGTAACTTGCTGTCTGTCTTGTGTCCCAACAGGTGCTGAATGAAGTGACAGAAGATAACTTAATAGATTTGGGTCCTGGCTCTCCAGCTGTAGTGAGCCCAATGGTCGGAAACTCAGCACCTCCGTCTTCGCTTTCTTCTCAGCTTGCAGGGCTTGGTGAGTGCCTGATGTCAATAGTGCCCATGAACAGGAGGCTGCAGCGCGTGGACTTTTCACACCTAACCAGTCTGTGGGTCTCAAACAGCACGCGGGGGCTGCTGGGCAATCCAGGGGTGTGACTGTGGGAGCAAGTCTGAGCGGTTGCTGAGGTCCCCGTGACGGACCTGAGCACCCAGTACAAGCCTGTATCGCAGCGGGCTGTTGGGATTTACGAGGAGCCATTTTTTCACTGGTGGGTCAGGGAGTTTCTGCTCCCCTTGGCTCTCTACTACCTGCTTGATGTTGCCATGTGGCCTTCAGAAGGTTTGGGTATTGTGGCTTGCAGGGTTAGGAGGGCTTTCCCACTCCCCTGCGCTGTAGCAGTCTAATTGGGAACCAGCCTGGCGCAAAGGGAGGGATTTATTAACCAAAGGGTAGACTGAAGGAAAGGATGCAGGTTCTTGTTCACGGTAAAACTTGTGCTACTACTTTTATTTCTGCTTAGGTATAGCTCTCCATGAAATCTGGTGAATGTTCTTGATTCCTCTTCTACAAATAATATTTGAAATCTTTGGATGAAAGGTTTTATGAAACTGTTAGGTGTTTTACATTAAATCAAACCAAAGATTGCTGGATAGAATCACTTGATTTGACTGAAGGTTCTCCACCTCCTCCAGCGCTGTGCCAACATCCTATCACTCGATTTGAAACTGTTGGTTCCACAGCCAGTGGCAGAGAGACCACATAGTGGAGAAGACTAGTATCCATGCCCGAAATTTTGGACCCTGTTAGTGAATAGTAAATATCTCGGGATGAGGTTGGCAGCGGGTGCACACCAGTTCCCAAACGCTGGCTTCTCGATGAGGAGTACTTACGGTGTGGTGCTTCCAGGGAGGATTAAGACAATCTCAATATTTGTCTTTTAAGATATGCATGGTTCGCAGCCTCCAGCCTCTTCTGGGGCAGAACTGTGCTCAGTGCTGTTGCTTTTAACTAGATGATACCTATAGCTGTTGTGCATTGTTCATGACTTCCTCTGGAACCTACCTAGTCGCGGTGAGGTGCTTACATATGGTTTGCTATCTCACTGGTTTGCTTTTTTTGCCTCTGGTTGCAGACTTGGGCACAAACAGCGTCAGTGGCACACTGAGCTCTCTACAGCACTGTAATCCTCGTGATGACTTCGACATGTTTGCACAGACCAGAGGCAGTTCCTTGGCTGAGCAGCGAAAGAAGTACGTTGGAGTTTGTCTTTAGGCACTGTTTGAGTCACGGCATTGCTGTTTTCGAAGGGCATAAATCTGAAACTTCTTGATTTCATTCCAGACCGAAAAAGTAGTTTTGGTGGATGTTTTTGCGCTTTTAATCCAATCCCCATCCTGTTGGTCATTATTAGTATGAGCAAGTGGAGAAGTTCCTGCTGTTGGGCAGAGCAGGCTGGCTGAGTAATGTTATTTGACTGTCTTAGTTAATGAGCTCACTGGAAACTTGGACATGAACGTGCCTTTGCTTCTGCAGATGCTTCCTCTTACAAAGGCTTGTCATCCCATCCACCCGGCCAGTGCTTGAGATAGAGGAGCATAAGGGTCCTTCACCTGAAGGTCATGGATATGCTTTGGTGACTGAATTACTGTCATCAAGGGCTTGGAAACACAATTACCATCCAGTCAAACTCTCCCTTTGGCCCAGCAGTCAGACTCGCGCAGGCTGTCAAGGCGGTGTAGCTTGCCCGGCTGCCATGCTATCCCTAATTTGTTTATATGCATAGGGCTTGCAGCTCTAGAGCTGCAAATCTGGCACTTTCAAGGACATTTAACAGGTCAAATTATTTTAATGTAAAATAAATCTATGCACTTACTAAGAAATCCTTTGATCCCTGTCAAGTGAGATTCAGTAAGATTCAGTAAAAGACACACTCAGGTATTTTTCTTTCATACAGTATTTTTTTGCCTCCTCCTAGTTTCAGATTCTAGAGGATGTAGTGGCTACCAGCAGTCAGAACATCATCAATATCTTGTCACAAACTGAGAAATGTTGTTAAATAGTTTAGCAGATTATCAAGAACTTACCAGCTCTGGAAAACTTGAGCCAACAGATTTATTTAGATCTTTTATTTGCAGTTATCGATACAGCGATTGGTACTGCCTCAGCTGTAGTATCGGTGTTGAGAAGACGTGCTCTATTGTAGAGGCGTATGTTACCACTGGATATTTCGGGCTGAGAGCCTTAATGTACAGTCAGAAAGGAGATGCATTGCAGAGAGATCTAATGGAGGTCCCTCTGTCTCTTGTGCTAAATGAAGCACGAAACTAGTCTTCCCACACTGCACCTCTGTCTCCTTCGGCGAGCTAATGGAACAAGGAGCACATATGAGCCCATGATTCCACAAGGGAGGATTGGTCTGTCTCCCTTGGATTGTACGCTGAATAAATGGAGCGGCAGCGAGGCAGGAAAGATGTGTGTGTGCCTTGCCAGGGTGTGTAGGTGAGAGCCTCTGGGTGCTGTGCTCAGAGCCGGGGAGCAGCCAGCACGCTGGAGGAGAAAGCGCTCCTTCTGCTCAGACATGCAGCTCCTCCCAGGGGCTGATTTACGGGCAGGTGTTGGCGGCTGCTTCAGCTCATGGTTCACCACCGTGCTCTGAGAAACGGTGCTGTTGCCTCTGTCACCTGACTGCTACACGTCCCTTTTGCATAGCAATTTAAGAAACTTCTTAAAAATCCATCCTCTGTAAACAGTGCATTTCTTTGCATGCTTCGCTGTAGTTGCTTTGTTCCGTTTCATCTGTCTTTTGAGTCACCCTCTGCCTCCCCCCAGGCACACATCAAGGTCAGGCTTCCAAATGTCATCTTTAAAGCTTTGCAAAACTTAGTCTGTAATCAGGGTTTCACAGTCCCCTGGCTGGCTCTTGGGCACGCTTACGGTGCCGTGTAACCTATTTGCCTACCTATCATAACGCCAGTCGCCCTTTTTTTGCTTCCCCGTGCTTACTGAAACTGATGGATGGTCTTTATACAGAGCACACTCCTCTTCTTGGAATACACTTAGTACGTGGGGTGTCTTGTTAAGAAAAAGAATGTGCTTTCTGATTTCCAGGGGAGTGAATCAGAGTAGCAAGTGTGGGGTGACGGCTGGACTTCCTCCTAGTTCTGTGGTTTGTTCCTTTCTTTCAGCGTGACGTATGAGGATCCACAGGCTGTCAAGGGACTGGCGTCTGCCCTGGATGTACGAAAACAGAACACAGGAGGGGTAGGTCATTGCTCTGCGTTTTGTTATCGGAAGCCGTGCGTGGAATCCAAGCTGTAGGCAGCTGCTTTGAGTGAGACTTCTCATTCGGTATTCCAGCAACGTGCTCGTGCTGGCTATTTCGAAATTGATATCTGGGAGCAAGTACGTGCGCAGTAATGATCTCTAAAGAGCTGCTACTTAGCACACTAGCCTAAAAGACTTCAAAACCATAGTGGGTAAATTCTCCTGTGTTCTTGCAGCTTGCCTGGGGGCTCCAGCTCTTTAGGTGAAATCACTGCTGAAAAGATTAAGTGGGGAGCATCTCGTGAACAGTGGTGTGCACTGGTTTGGTTTGCTTTTGCTTACGGAGGTTGATGCAGCCTTAATCTGCTGGACTTTGCTCTAAGTGCATGCATACCCGAGTGAGTTACAGGGAGAGAAGTTGTGTAGACTTTTAGTGCTTCACATGCCTTGCCATAACTGCCCTTCCCTGCGGTCTGGTCCCCCTGTCCCAGGGCAGGCTGCCGCTATCTGGTGTGGGCAGAAGAGGCCCCTGTGCTGTCACCTCGCAGCAGCTGGTGCTAGAAACGGGCTTGAGAGCCAGCTTTGTCTGCACACCTTGATGAAGGCAGAAGCGAAAAGAGCTTTCTCTCAACCCGTTTCTACCACCCTGCTTTTTAAAACTGTCCTGCTCTTTCGTACTCAGCCGTGTGTGAGGTTTTTTTAGATGACAGAGCGAGTTCAGAGCCTTTTCCTGGTCTAATTTTGGGTCTGTGCTGGCCACTAGGGAGCATGGCAGAGCCAGTGCAGCATGCACACGCCTCCCTCCATGGAGAATTGCCCTCCCCATGCCTTGGCTGATCCCGCCCTGGTTCTTTCATAAGTGGAAATAGGAGTGCTCGGGGCAGCTGGCATGCCTGGCAGCTTGTGCTCTGAGCCAGGGAGAATTTGCCTTTGGAGCCAGCTGGGGTCAGATCACAGCTGCCTGCCTGCCTGCTTCGGCGGTAGTTCAGTGGTAGCAGGGCTTCAGCAAGGATTTCTTACGGAGCATCCCCCTGCCCCACAAATATATCTGCTTGTTTCTGTCCCTGGCCTTCTTCAAAAAGGGTAATTTATAACCCAGGCCAGCCCCATGGCCAGCTTCAAGCTCTGCCCCGCGAAAACTCGTAACAGCAGCACTGAGGGAAAAGGCGGGAGCGTGGGGAGGCAGGGGCAGAAGTACATTCAGGGGGACGAGAGAGGAATTCCTGAAGCCGGTGTGGCAACCCAAGCCCCCAGTATCACTGACCTGTGTTATTGGCAGGACCTGGGAAAGGACTTGGAGATTCTGCTCTTTGTTCCCGGCTAACCGAATGCAAGGGGCTTGTGTTTAGCTACTGGTCAAGGGGGCTGTATCCCCCCCGCCCCGGTGGCCACGGGGTCATGTCCTTATTTATTAACACTTTTGTTCTCAGCCAGTTCTGCTTGAGGCACCGACCGACGTGACGTGTCATTCACACCAGCGTAGCTGCTGCTCTGCCTGAAGTGTTGTCAGTGCAAAGGGCTGTGTCTAAGCTAATCTGACGGTCAAAGTTTTTTGGGGCAAACGCTTTATGGGTTGTGGAACTTTGGGCTCTGGGATGTTGTGCAGACTTTCAGCCTCTTTTCAAAGGTCCCAGTGACTGTATCTTGCAATCAGGATAGTTTGTTTTGAAATGCAGTCTTTCGGTAATTGGTAAATACTACTTTTGGTCAAGTTTTGTGAGGCTTATGGGTGTCTCTTCTTAAAGGAAATAAAAATTGAACTCTCCTAAAGTTACCAGCCCTGGCATGTGTAGCAAAAAACCTGGCAGTGCTCAGTAAACGAAAGACACGCGTTAATTTGGGTAGAGAGCTAATTTAAGAACAGCTCTAGGGAGGAGCCAAAAGCTTCACAACACATTCTTCACACACGTCTTGTTCCAGCACAGTTGTCCAGTGGTAAAATTCAGCACATCCGACGTTTCTAATGTAGTCATTCTCAGAATGGTCTGTAGAGAGATGGCTGATCACGTGGCATTAGCTGTCTTTTAATATGATTTAGCAGCTGGAAACGAGACGAGCTAAAAATACACTGTTTTCTTAATATTGCTTTTCCATGTTGGGAATTGATTTTGTTGCCATAGAGTTGTTGCGTGATCACAACTGGGAGGAGAGGTGTCCAAGAAACAATTCTCTGGTGTTACACAGATGAAGTTGGAGTGATTGCCTCTTTTTTTTTTTTTTTCTTTCTTTTTTTTTTCCTGAGCACAAGTACTGAAATGAGACAGAAAAGATTACAGCTGATTCTCCATTATCTGTGGTAATGGGGACAGGAGAGGTATCCCACATATACAGGTATCTGAATGGAGGTACATAAACACACCAGTGGCTCTCTGCTGAGCTAGACCAGTTCTGGCAGGGCTGGTGGGCTGGAACCGCTGCGCTCTGCCTGTCCCGAGCAAGTCCCTCCAGAGCTAGAGGTGACTCTGCATCAGGGCCCTGGCTCAGGGACGAGATGCTGAAGGACAAGGAGCCATCTTGAGAGTCTTTGTGTTGCCGTGCCACGCAGGCTGCAACCTGCTCTGAGGAGCTGGATGCATCAGCGGCCCTTTTAACCTCTGCCGCTCTGCGAGAGGGGCAGTTTGAAAGAGTGCCAGAGCGCTGCAGCAAACTGCCGTTACTTACCCTCCTGCTCAATGACATCACTAGAGCTGTCGTAGTGTTAGAGTTTGGGGCAGGGCCTGTCTGCTGAGATCAAGGAGGTAAGTAGGGTGTGCAGCGACTCACAGCTCCATAAACAAGGGAAACTCCACCGTGTCTAACGCTGGTGTTTCCAGTAAAATCTGACTGATTTTAGTAGGTTGTATTGCCTACGCTTTTTCTTCTTCTAAGAAGATGACAAACATCAGCCTCACTACTAGCCAGTGATTTTTTTATTTATTTCTTTTTTTTTTTTTTTTTAATATCAGCATGGGGGAAGTGCTAAAATTGTGTGAACTGTCTGTAGGAAGTGCGGAGGTCGGGGTGAGGTCTGTCCCTCCGTGGACAGAGCTGACAGGCAGCAGAGGGGGATGCAGCTGCTGCCAGAAGCTACCATAGGCAGCTCTCTGTGGGTGTATGTGTATGTGAAGTTTTTAACTTGCTGCTGTTATATTACTTTATCACGGGTTGTTGCTGTGGTTTCTCTCTTTATGGACCTTTCTGTTCTCAACACAGAGGAGAGGTAAAGGTGGGAACTCAGACATGGAGCCCATAGACAAGTGGCTAATTACACAAGGAATGGTGAGGACTTCACCAGTGAAACGATTCCTACTGCCCACCCCAGTCCCTTTACCTAGAATAACCATCCTTCATTCACCTCTTGTCCTGCCCTACTGAACCACTTGAAATCAGACAGTACAAGGAGTTTATTTCCCACCTACATCATTTCCTGGGGCGAAGGGAAAGATTTGCACCAATTTCTGGTTTGTACAACACAGAGGCCCGTAACCGATTTGTCGGATCCCACATCGCCTTCAGAAGGGGCCTGGGGATCCAATTGGTTCCTTATACTGTCTTGATTTATTTATGCAGTATCCACTTTTCGAGGGATAAACACAAGTCTCATGGATCTTGCTCGTAAAGAGGACACTTCCTACGTGTCTTTAAAGCAGCCTCTTCTGGTAGCGCTTAACTTCATGGTTTGGAATGAACAGATGGAGCTTGTAGGATCATACCTAATGGAACTACGTAGTGTAGGGATAGTTCTGTATGAAAGGAAGGAAAGGGGAGAACTGCTACCCCGAGTGACATCTTCCACCCCACTGGCATTAGGATTCAGACTCCAAAAGGTACAATAGCGTTTCTGGCTTTAAGGATTTAATTCCCGTGTCTAGTGATGCCAGTGCTCTGATAAAGTCAAGCTTCTGAAGATCGCTGAATCTGTGCACATTTTGACCTTGTTTGAATCCTAGAATCATCACAGGGTGGTTTGAAGTTGTCATTCACCAACATGCTTGCGGAGAGAAGTTCAAAAGCCTGCTTTAGGTGCAGAAGTCAGAGTTAGGTAAAAAAGTAGCCTCAGCTGTGCCTTAAAGCCAAGTTCTAAGACCAATTTCGTATTTTTGGACTATGTAATCCATCATTTTTAAGTGTTTGAGATTAGTACCAATAACATGACCCAACTGTACGGTCTTTCTGAGACAGTCCTGACTGGAGCTGAGTTCAGAAGGGTGCAGTGGAGGCTTCCCTTTGGGGTGGAACGCGCCTGCAGTGCGGCGCGCGGGGCTGGGCATCAGGAGGATGAGAAAATCCAGAGTGTGCAATATCCAAGTGCACCAACTCTGTGAAACACTTTGCATTCCTCTAGATTTAGGCCTAATCCAGATTATTTCGGAGGGAGGGCCAGCTTGTGGATTTGTCAGCAGTTTGCATGGCTGGTGCCTGCATGGTGACTTGACGTATCTGCCTGCCCGTGCCAGCACCCAAGAGCAGTTCCGTGCCTGCTGGCACACGTGGGGGAGCCCAGCTGGAGGTACCTCTCCTCGGGAGCCAGGGTTTTGTTTCAGTGCTTGTCAGAGACCCACAGCTCGTAACACGAGAGTGAAAAGCCGTGAAGTGAGCAGCGCTTGCTTTGCCTCTGACGCTGTTGACTGTGGCTGACAGAGGCTCTTGCTGTTCGGTGGCTCTGTTGCAGCCAGAGATGTGCTATGCCACTGTTAGATGTTCATCCATAATGAATAATCCAGTGATTGAGTTAGTTCCTCTTCTTTGCCTTTCCACTGTTTACAAGAGCAGGGAAGCATGAAATCAGCACCCCTGCTGTTCGCACCGCTCACACCACCGCTTTATTAAAAAAACAAACACCATATTCGTTCATTGGCTTGTGGTTATTCAGTCTGGAAAAAGGATACTGCAGCATTCATGAAGGCCTACGGATCTGGGGAGGGAAGGGGGTCTGGCTGTCCAGCCGGTCGCTGCTCTTACAAGCCTGTCACCTTGTTTGTATGCTAAATATGAGAGAGAAATACCTAAAATAAAAC